GGTGTAGCTGCTATCTTTGCTGAAATTCCCTACATCAAACGCTTTCTAGCAAAGTATTGCTCCAAATTCCAAATGGTAGGACCAACCTACAAAACCGATGGATTTGGCTTTGTGAGTCTCACTCTCCCTGTCTGTCTCTCACAGGCAATCCCTCAGCATATTTTCAAGGCATATTTGTTTGGCAGTCGTTAGCTAGCTCCTTAAGCATAGAGCTGAACTGCTCAATTCTTGCAAGTGACCATTAAATCTTACCAGATGTCATTATAATCAATGGGATTTTGTTTTGATGCCAGGCATTTCCCCTTGGATCCCCACTGGTCCCTTACATTTCAAGGGCAATCTTGAATGTCACAGAAGACAAAGATAAAATGGAAGAAATTGAACGAAGGAACTTTGGTGGCGAAACCACTTGCTTAGATCAAGCTGCCATGCTAACCTCTGGTGGTCTTGGTTTATCCAGCTTCGGAGGCCTCTTCATCATCACAGGAGTTGCTTCCATGTCTGCACTTCTGATATATGTCACGAAGTTCCTTTACATTCATTGGCCTGCTTCGAACACCATGGATCGAGAAAGATCCTTTTACTCGAGAGTTCTTGAATTGGCAAAACATTTTGACAAGGCAGATCCATCAGCTCATCATCTTAATAGAGCTGAGTCAAGAGTTCACCCTGTACCAAGTGCTGAAATAGTTGGAGCTTCACCTCATATCGATGATGCACGTGGCCATTCAAGGACTTCCAGTGAAGGATCTGGAGACATCATTGGAGATCAAGCGCATGACAATCATACCCCAAGGAGCAGTGCTGCAAACCCCGAACCCCCACACACACCGTAGGCACTGCATCCTTTGTTTTTAGGGAAGTCATAATACTAATTTCCACTGACAGTAGTGGGCTTCAGCTGGTGCTAATAGTTACATTCACTGGCTACAGATTGGAGAGATGTTCATGGTGATGTTATTTAATTAGGAACAAAAATTCTATGTAGCTAATGAAGCACCAAGATCCTCTTTTTTTAGTTATTATTGTTAAATAATATTTATGTAATTTTATTTATTAAGGGTAGAATAGTATTTTTAGTTTAACCTATATATACTTTATATGTATTTAGGTTAAGGTTAAACATTCATAATACACAGATTATTCAGAATTGTAGCCTCCTTTTTGTGTTTGATCTTAATTATTTTAATATGGTATCAGAGTTGATTTTATGAAACAAAGCTTAATCCTGAACACAGCTTTGCGGATCCAACTTGGTATTTGCATTCAGTTTCTGCAAATTTTTTAGAGTGAGATATTGTCTTCCGCTTCTACAAAATTGGGTATTTCGTTAGTTTCTGCAATTATTTTGGTATTTCATCTTTCATTTAACTTTTGCAATTTGGTATTTGCATTCAGTTTCTGTAAATTTGTTTTGTGTTTTAGAGTAATCATATAATTCTGAGAAGATATTTGTTTAGTTTCTGTAATCTCTGTTTAGTTTCTGCAATTTGGTATTTGGTTTTCCGCTGCTTTTGCATTCTAGTTTTCTGTGATTGTTGATTATGGCTACTGAAA